TATACGCTACACGGTATGTTTGACATTTTGATCAGTATTGCAATATTTGAGACAGAGACCTCATGAACAGTGCTAGGTCATTTGTGATCTGTGCCCATAGGGATGAGGCGACTTGGCCGCCAAGTGTGTAATGCATTTGTTACCGAGAGATGTCTTGTGCCTGGCTCGCTTTGCTCACCCACTTGTGCTACGTAGAACGAGGAATGACCTCGATGGTACATACCGCAGTCGCTCGAAGTGTGGTTTTCTCGCACGCATAAAAATATCTTGCATATAATGCGCTGCTGGACGAAACGTCTGTGCATTTTTCCCGTGTAAACTCGAAACAGCCAATCCGAGAGCTCAAATTCAACGATAAATAGCCAATCGTGGACTGTAAAAGTGTCGAATTCCACTGAATCACAGTGCAAATTTGGCCAATCATGGGCTAAGGCTCTATTGTGCCTGAGATTCTATGCGCGACATCATATTGATGGCGACATCTTCTCGAAGTTGCATTATCTTTGAATAAGTTTATGCCACGACAACATTGTTGTCGCTCCAAGACGCTACTTCGTGTACGCGCAGAGGCGATGCCAGTAGTATGCGACAGTAGTACGGTTGTGGCGTTGGTGGATGTGCTTGTGGAAGCGAGCGGCGTTGTCCGCTCCCAAGGTGAATACGTTCGAGCGTCGCATCGACATGAACCCCTTCCCCCGCTGCCCTCGTTGCCCCTGCAACACCATAGGGGGAAGGAGGGCATCAGAACAGGCTGATGATGCCACAGGCGGGGAGGCTGCGTGCGGTCATATCTACAATTCAGTTGGTAGCGGGGGAGGTGTTTCCGTCATCGACACTTGCGGTTTTACCCCTGTGTACCACACTCGCAAGATGAACGCTCGGCGGTTCCACTCCCAACTAAAGCGACCTGGCTCAGATCAGATTGCCCTTTGGCGTGTGTAGTGGCCGCGGTTGAACGGAGGCATATGTCGCCGCGCTACACATTGCAGAGGGCATGACTGATCCGCCCCGCCCCCCGGTGCCATCCAAGACAAGGAAACAGCCAGCCGCCATGACCAGCGCCACCCCCCAAGTGCGGAGCTCACGTAGCCCTCGCCACCGCCCTCGACAGTGTCGACCACTGGAGCTGTCACAAGCGTTCCCAGAGGGGCCCCTCGTCCTGTCCCACCCTATGGTGGCCGTGTAACCCAGACATGGAGCACACGGCCAGTTACGTTGCGGGATCAGCCTGCCGCCGCCTGGTCGGTCCATCCACCCAGCCGACGTTCACTAAGTGCTCATTCTCCAATTCGCTCTCGAATAGACTAACATGTTTGCCCGCACTGCCTTTGTGATTGCCGCCGCCTTGGCCATCGTCTCGGACGCCTCCAAGATGTCCAACAGCGTCCGCCGGGAGCTCGAAGTTTCAGCCACGGTCTCCAAGGTCGTCGTGGAATTCAAGGCCTCCAACGGCCCCGCGCTGGATGCGGTCGGTTCGATCGAGTCGGCCGTGTCTCGCGGCGCCCACATCGAAAACGTCCGCGAGTCGTTGGTCGTGCACGCTGCCAACTCGCAAGCGCCCGTCCTCGACGCCATCAAGGCGTTCGCGACCAAGGAAGGCGCGAGCGC